GATCATTAGTTGCCGTCCTGTACAAGATACACCAGGACTGATCATTTCTCAATGTTATCCACTGCTAATGTGATTAAGGACCCTCCCTGACAAATAAATAACCCCACACAAACATGTTAAAAATATCAGTTATGGCCTTCTTGGTCAAATTTCTATACTATCTGGGAAATCTTTTTAGATAAATACAAGTGTACATCTCTCTGTCAGCTTTACTTGCTGTCTGATTATTTTAGCTTAGAAAACTACCTCTTTCACACACACACACACACACACACACACCCTGGCATGTGTGTTTATCCTCTCCCAGCTCCAGCCCTCGGGGACAGTTGCACTGATAGGAGTGCAGCAGTGAGGAGCAGCCATGGCTGCATCTTCCATTGTTAACATGACAGCCTGCCATCTCTGCATGGGGCAACACAGAGAAAAAAGGAAAGATGTGGTTCTGGGATTTAATTATCTCTGCACAACAGTGACTGGTGTGTCATATGAACATCAGAACATGGATGTACCTTTACAGTTGTGCCCATCTTCATCCAGCACACGGCCCGGCCCACACTCACAGCGCCTGGATCCTTTGGTGTTCACACACTTCTCTGCACAGCCGCCGTTGTTCTTCTCACATTCATTCACATCTGCACATAGGACACACACACCACACACACCTGGGTCAGATATTATTATCAGATGAGTCTTCTTTTAATCGACTGAGTACCAGATGGGTGGAGTTTATCACCTCAAGGCAATTCACTTAGTGTTCCAGGGAAGAGAATGATAAATTGACTTCAGAAGACTTTAAAACTGAGTTTATAATACTGAGAGGACTGGTAAAGAAATAATGAGGGATGAAATAAAATGAGGGACCAACGTAAGAGATTAAGAGTGTGAGGAAAGAGAGTGACCGAGGATGGAGAAATGAAGAAGCCAGATTTGGTTGATGGGTAAATAATGAGATAGTGGCAGTTCTCAGGCTGGCTAGGTTGGCTGTCACCCATCATTAGGTGTACCATCCAGTGTACCACACACACACCTACAGTAAAGTCAGCAAATACAAAAGACAATTCTTCAGTCTTTCTGTCACTAGAAACTTCCTTCATCAGGTTCTGTACTCATCCTTCCTGCTTTATGATCTATCTGATCATTTAGAATATGTAAAACTAGTTATAAGTCCATTGGTATGTGATATT